AGAGAGAGAGAGAGAGAGAGAGAGAGAGAGAGAGAGAGAGAGAGAGAGAGAGATGTCGGAAGTGTCCGCGGTGGTGAGGGAGTTGGTTGACGGGAAAGAGGTTGTCGTGCAGGAGACATGGGTGGAACGGGGAGCGGAGCGCCATCGGAACATGGATTGGGGCCCCACTGTCATCAAAGACCACACGTGCGTTTACTACACGCTTGTCAAAGACTTCCTCGCGATAAGGATGGTGGTGGGGCTGGTATACGATCGGGATGTCAGCCATGTGGAGGTCATGCTGTTCGTGAAGAAGCTGTCCAATGTTGTCCCGGACACGGGGCTGGGGCCGAGCCCTGATGTCGTCGGGGACATCGTCCGCTACCTTGTCTCCGCCATCGCCGAAGAACACATGGCGACGAATAGCAGCAACATGTGCAATGTGGCGCACTTGGAGCCTCCACTTCGGAAGAGAGGCTACCTGCATGGGGCGGTCCAGATTTGGTGCCCGAAGGATGACCTCAGGGCTGCGCGTAACATGTGGTAGACCGCCTTGGGCAGATGGTGACGTGCACTTTGAAGGGACGTACAATGTGGAGGACGTGTGGAGCTTCGCAATGATGACCAAAATTTGTTTCTTCCGCCGATTCAGCGGGGAGAGTAGCGGTGCCTTGTTGGCTGGTTCGGGAATTGCTAGGTTGGGTAGGGGGTTGGCCCGCGATGAGGATGTGGACTGTTTTTGTCGTGAGGAGGGTTGGATGCAGCACGAACGCTGTATCGTAGATCGATAACATGTGTGTTTCGCAGTAGTTACTAGTTAATAGTTTCCCTTTTGAAATGTTTTTTTGTCTACCGTGTACTCCGACAGGCGTGGCTTTCTCTCTCTCTCTCTCTCTCTCTCTCTCTCTCTCTCTCTCTCTCTCTCTCTCTCTCTCTCTCTTCCTGTGAACGTGGAGTGTATTGGGCATAGAGTGTCATACTTCAGATTAATTTGTGTTAATATATATATATACAATTGTCGGATATAATTTAGCGTAGACGGAGGCAGTCGCAATAGATTGATTCTTTTTTTTTTTGCAGACAAGGTGTTTTATCGTCTTCGCATTCTGGTTGGTTGTTTCCCGTTGTTTGCCCTATGCTTGACAGGGGGGCAGCCACCGCTCAACCTACATCCACGTGGGAGGCCTTGTACGCAAGGGGTTCTGAATAGGGGGGGTCGTAAGGAAGAAGATAAAAAAATGATTTTATTATTTTCTTCTTTTCTTTTTCAGAGAGAACTTGAAACAATTTTTGCACTCTGATAAGTTTGTGACTATATATGTATATATATATATATATATATATATATATCGATCAAGGGGCAAATGAATCCACAGATGAATAATAAATAATCAGTCAATCACACAATTAATCAATCAATCAAACAAATAATCAATCAATCAATCAATCAATCAATCAATCAATCAATCAATCAATCAATCAATCAATCAATCAATTAATCAATCAATCAATCATACAATTAATCAATCAATCAATCAATCATACAATTAATCAATCAATCAATCAATCAATCAATCAATCAATCATCAATCGATCGTACAATTAATCAATCAATCAATCAATGAATCAATCGGTCAAATAATTGATCAAACAATCAATTAATCAATCGGTCAATCTTCCATTCAGTCAAGCAATAAGTGCACGAATTGCAATTTCCTGACAATGAGTCCATTGTGGCATATGAATTTAGGGCGGTGACAACGAGAGAGAGAAAGCGAGAGAGAGAGAGAGAGAGAAAAAAAAAAAAAAGAGAGAGAGAGAGAGAGAGAGAGAGAGAGAGAGAGAGAGAGAGAAAG